GTTTCTTATCGTGAAAGCTACCTAAGATGCTCACTGTATTTGACTTTTTGTTTTGCTATTGACTGAGTCCCTTCAAATTAATAAGCAAAATGAAATAATGTGAACAAACCTACATAAAGTAACCTGAAAAAATTCCATTGCATGGAGGTAGAAAATGGCTGGCAGGTGAGGCAAGAAAAAAGTTTAAGAGTGGGTTGTTTTGGAAGGGGAAGTTTTGGGGGGTTTTTTGAGACAGAGTTTTATTATGTTGCCCTCAGTAGAGTGCTGTGGCATCATAGCTCACAGAAACTTCCAACTCTTTGGGCTCAAGCCTCTTGCTTCAGACTCGCGAGTAGCTGGGACTACAGGTGCCCACCACGACACTTGGCTATTTTTAGAGGTGGGGTCTCGCTCTTACTCAGGCTGGTCTCGAACTCCTGAGCTCAGGCAATGTACCTGCCTTGGCCTCCCAGAGTGCTAGGATCACAGGCATGAGCCACCGCACCTGGCCCAAGGAAGTTTTTTTTTTTAAATCCAGCATAACTGAGATATGTTATCTGAGTGGAAGCGAAGAGTGTTGAAAAGAACTGTAACAGCTCTGTGCAGAAAAACAAAAGCACAGCAGACACTTCTTTGATGACCTGGTCAAGAGTTTTCTGACTGCCCACCTGGGGTGCAAATAACATGGCAAGGTTTTGGTCAGCTTTCTCAAAAATAAGAGAAGAAGGAAAAATGCTTATAAGTCATTATGTCTTACTGCATAATAGTCTTGATATTCTGTGATACACCAGTGATAGGAGTTGACCTTCCTTTTGCTGAATCATAGTGTATATGACCACTGCATACTGAATTCATGTATGGAACCGTGATGATTGACAAATTTTGAGCTAAGCTGTACAGCATATTAAATGTGCCATTACAGTGTAGTTATTTAAATCTCAATTTCTCTCCCCAGCTCTACTTTGCGAAGTGTCTCTACTGGATCCTCAAGACCTTCCAAAATATGTTTGGTGTGTGGGGATGAGGCTTCGGGATGTCACTATGGGGTAGTAACCTGTGGCAGCTGCAAAGTTTTCTTCAAAAGAGCAGTGGAAGGTAAATGTTCATGTGGGTGTTCCTTTTACACGCTTTTTCCTAGTATGTAGTGTATGTGCACAGCTAACGCTATGGCATCATTGGGAATTCTTCCAAAATATTTTTGATGGCATCTTTTGGTGATAAATAGTATTAGTGCCTTCTCTAAAAATCATCTGAAGATTTTTCCACCAAGAAATATTTCATGAGCAAAACTTGGTATTGTGAGCAAGGATCAACTGGTCAAAAATTATTTTCTTGTTGCTGTTGTTTGTTTGTTATAGTTTGGTTTTTAGTGAGACTTAGAAAAATCATTCTGTACCATTGTAAATTTAATTTATGTCATCTGACTAGGCACACACACTGAATGCATCATCTCTTCCTTTTCTGTGTGTCTATATAAATATATGTTCGTGGAAGATTTTAAAACATTTCTATCAGGATCAAGTCTATCCTGTGCAGGATAATTTTATTTACCAGCTACTTCAGACTTCAGGTCCTGCCTTTATTCCTACTGAAGGTTTACAAACATATATTAAATGAAAATTTTGACTGAGATTCACCATATATATTTGTATAGGCTCACTTTTGCTTCTAAGTAATTATTAAGGAGGAATAGCCTTTGGTTTGTGTTAGCCTTTCCCTACCTCGCTTATAAGCAGTTCATTAACGTCAAACTTAGGCCAAATGGTTTTATTGATGTTGAAAACCATGGTGAAAGTAAAAAAATTCCATAGAATTTTTGCTATCAATAAAAGAATTGTCGTGCAGTTAACACTTAGATTCATTCATTGAGGAGCCCCCTAAGGTTTATATCTTAGGAAAATTCTCTGAGGGGTGAATTGGTGCTTCAGAAACTTAAACATAAGTGACCTGAAGTCTCCCCTTTGTTTTCCCAGGGACATAAGGTATTATCTTTAGTTGTGAGATGAAAGGCTAACCAAGCATTTATTTCTTTGCTCATGGGACAGATTCTGCATTATTTAATTGCTGTTACATCATTTTACATTATTTATACCATTGATATTTTAGTAGTCCTGAAACCCAGCATTGAACTTACAAGAGTAACTCAGTAATTCTGTCTGAGGCTCTTGGTTACAAGTGATAGAAAATTCCAGAGCCTGGCTTAAGCACGAGCAGAAAATCATCAGCCCAGCTCCTGCAAAGCCCTAGAGCAGACTGGGCTTCAGGTGAGCCGTGGCCTTTCTCCAGGCCAGGAGCAGTCAGTCCCACTCTGCCCATCACATGCTCTGACTCCGCTCTCACACGTGCTTTCTCATTGTGCTGAGTCAGCTCCTGGGCTCATTAAACAGAGGGTTTCTGTTCCTAAAACCCCCACCGGAATCTCTTCAGACTGAACTGGGTTCATATACCCACCTCTGCTCCAGTCTCTGTGGCTGGGAAACACAGTGGTCAGATAGGTGGGCTCTGGCTGGAGTTTGACGACAGAACCTTCTAGACCAAAAAAGGGGAAGGGTGTTTCCCCTGAGCAAAATATGGGTTCTGTGACCAGAGGACCAATTTTCAGAACATGAGAAAGTCATAAGTAGGCCCAGTAGTGACACTGGTTTATGTTTTTAAGACTTTTCTTTTCCCCTCCATCCCTTATCTCTTTCCTGAATCATGCCATTGGCGCAGTAAAACTTGGTGAAATTCACATCTGGTGTCTTTCTGATCTCAGAGCTCCTCCTAAGCTCACTAATGAGTGAATAACCTAAGAGGTATGTGAAAATAAAGTGACGTAGGGAAAGACATTTTGAGTGGACAGCAGAAGCCTCTGCTGGCCCTGCCATGGGTTAGCCTGACATCAGAACCCACATTTTAGCCATTTGCAGGATCTGCCTTTTCCGCTATTAAAGCAAAGATTTTTGTAGAAGTTCTCACTTAGGTTTTTTTTTAATTGATATTTATTTAGTTTCTGTGAAAGTACCTGAGGAACTGATTATTTTTGTAATTCCAGTATAAATAAATACAGAAAAGCTTCCATTTCATTGGAAAACCAGTCAGTGGATAATGAAACCTGCTGAATGCCTTGTGAGACTTTTAGTAACATACTTTGTTCCCTATTTATTTGAGAATTAGAATTTTATGATTCAACTGTACAAAAGAGGCTATAAATTTAAACTTTGTGAGAATGAAGACTTGTCTTTATATTTTTACATTTTCTATGTGTTTGCACTTTTATCCTATGCATGCACATGTGTGTGAGACAGAGAATGGAAATATGTGAGCAATCTAGCTATCTTTGTATCAGAACTTTTTGAATAAGAGATTATTTTTACAATACTTGATAGAATTTGGAATACTCATGGCACAAAATCACGGCCTACGTGTGTTATTTTCATTCTCCTTTTCCTGATGTTGACATTTAGAATCAGACCTAGTCAACCAGTCTATTCCAAATCATAAGGTCAAACTTAAATCCGTACTAAAGTCTCATGACTCCAAATCTGGCCCCAGCCTGATGTCTTAACTCTAAATCTCGTAATCTGTTCTTTTCACCTTACCGTATCAGTTCTAGAGTTCTACCTAGAACTCTGAAAATTCTACCCTCTATGTAGAACCTTTTCTTGATCCTAGTGAAGGAAGTGATCTAAGCCCCGAAAAGACATTGTTCAGCACTCTGCTCGGTGTGTGTATGTGACTGTGTATATGCATACATACACAGATGGAAACATTTAAGTGATTATTAACTTCGTTTTCTAATGTTCCTTGATATCCCTAAGCTCCTCCTTCGATTGCAGTAACAGAGAATCTGGAGTACAGTGGATAGAGGGAGCTGGGATGAGGGGAGTTCATAACTGAAGGGAAAGGACAGCACTAGGGACGGAGCATAGAGATGGTCCCTAGAGAACAGACGGAGGAAAAACCCAGCTACCTGCCCTCTGAGTTCACTGCCTTAAGGCTTTCCACTCGAGAGCACATCAAGCTTCCCATCATAGCTCAGTGGTGACTACGCATGGAGACTAGAAATTATTTCTGAAATATAAATTATCTTATTTACGTTCTATTTAATGGGCTGTGTCTGTGTGCTTATTATTTTCTTCTTAAACATTTACCATGAAAGCACTTAGAACTCTCTCTCAGAATGCCTTTTATGTGCCAGTAACGTCAGTGAACAGCCATATTGTTGTTCCCTGCAAATGAAAGTTTATAATTTTATTTTAAAATGTGAATCACTTATTTGCCTTGAAGGATTTCAGGACTTTTCTGTCTTAAAAAGAAAAATAATTTTTCAAACAGGATTCTATTTTGCGGTGGAAACCAGACAGTCTCTAGAGTCAGAAGAGTCAGCTGTAATTTCTGACCCCACTCAGCAGGCGTGAGATTAGGCAAAGTATTTAACTTAGTGGGCCTCCGGTTTCTTGGTCCACCCTTAATGTTGCTATTGAAAGTTACACAAAACCGTAGTGTTTATGCAGACATTCTAGATTATAGAGTGACATCAAAGTCGTTAGTCCTTTTAGGAACCTACGCTAAAATTCTCCGGCAAGGTCTGTGCAGAGAATTAATGTCAATGTTACCATCCCCTTGTTATCTTAGTGCTTCATTTTTCAGCTCTTCATTTTTTTCATTAGATCTTCGTTTTCTTGTAATATATTTGGTCTCTGGAGCTGCCCTTTGAGGTGGTGAGATCCTTCTAGACTAGCAGTACTCAAAGGATGGTAGGGGGACAGGCAGATTGGAGGTCTATGTCAAGTTCTTGGGGGAGCTTTTCCGATGTGGACTGAACTATTGAGATTGACTCCTGTAATGAGCTGCCGTGGCTGCCTGGGGCAGTCCCACCTTGGGAGTAGCACAGTTGAGAGTATGTTTGGAGCCGTGAACTTGGCTTTGGGCTCCTCTGTTAGAAGTCCTTAGGGCAGGAAAGAGTCTTGTCTCCAGAACCTAGCAAGGCTGTAGGTAGTTAATAGCCATTGAGTAAATGTTTGAATGTACACATGAATGTACCTGTGGGACTTAAACGCAATCGAGGTTAAATAACTTCCCAACCAAACCAGTGAATTATCGTCAATGAAACTTGCCCAAGAATCTGTAATTTCCAATTCTAGTCAGAGTTTTTGCTATCTCAGTCTCTTTCCAACTGTAAAATGCTATTAGTTTCATCTCATCTGCATTTTTTCCTTGCTCCTTCAGTGAACAGAGCTGGCTGGATTCAGCACATTGTTTTAGAACCTAATTTCCTCCTCAGATCTCCAGTCTATACACAGTGCCTGGAAGACACAGCTACCACAAATCACTCAGTGGTTATAAGGCTGTAAAAGAGGAAGGAAGAGAGTTCATTATTATGTGAAGTCAACTGGATTTATATTTTTGCAAGCAGCCCTGTTAGGCTGAAGAGTCCATAAGGTGGGAAGGTCAGTCGAATTGTATGGTACCAGTTTCCACACTCAGATTTCTCCCTTGAAAGAAGAGATGTATGTCTGTTTCTAGAAATGGAATTATTTAAAAGATAAAATGGCAGGTTAATCTTGAGATTTTTCAAATGTGCAGTGTTTTAAAACAACCAAGCCTGTGAATAAGTACTTTGTTCTTTTTATGTGTATTTCATAGCATACCTTTAAAAAATCTGTAAGTGTATCAATTGATTAGTCTGTGAGAGAAAATGTTTTTAAAGAAACATGATGGTTGATTCATAGTTAATGTCTTTGCTTCTTTGAAATTGATGAGTAGACTGGACAGGTGCAGAAAGGCGTGTGCCTCCCTGTGTTAGAACTCAGGTCCCCAGCAGTGCTCTGTGCGTCTGCCGTGCTCAGGAGCAGGAGAGAAGAGCACCCAGGTGTGAGCAAGTGGAGGCACACACTGGGTGGTGGGGGGATGTGCACTTACACTACAGAACAGAGAACTTCAATTTACTGGGCACAGCTAAATCAGGCAATTCAGAAAACAACAAAGCATGGGAATAACTTATTGTATAGTTATTGACTGTCTTCAGATAATGATCTAAGACAAGCCCTCATGCTCCCAGGAACCATGTGCAGGAAGCTAGCGGGCATCCAAGTCCAATGTCACTGCTGTAA